AAATGGAATCTTAGGCATAAACATGACTGTCGCATCTGCACTTTCATCTACAACAAACTAATCTTTGCTCAACATAATCCGACCTTGAGCCTTCTAGAGTTCTCCTCGATCGTCGCGAATTAACTCATTTTCTTCCTCACGATCTGATTATTTCTACGTGATACCCTGCCATGAATCAGCTGTTATACAAAACACAATAGCCATGTCTGTTTGTTTAAACAACATCTCGGAAACAGTTGTTCTTGAGGCAAGAATCACAGGCGTGTTTGGGGAAATCTCCGGCTATTCCATATTTTCGTGGGAATTGTCTCTGTTCGTTCAGATACAAATTGTATGGCTTTTAGGAATATTCATCTTCTTCGTTTATCTTGAGGTTTGTAGTAGTCTTATTATCCATATTATGTCACTAACTACCTATATTGTGCGGCATCCAGAAAACATAATCTCGCAAAACTTGAATTTGTGTAAACACACAAGTGTGTGTTTTAAATTCTAATTCCAAGTTCGAACGGATCTATTTATTTCGGGACACCGAAACACGTATACCTACTAATAAACGGGATGTCAAACAGCAGCAGGATAACAAACTACTGAGAGATTCTTCATTGTATAATTTGTTAAGGTGTTCAAGAAATAAACTGATATTTTCAATAAAATAAAATTATTCAATCTATTGACCAAGGAAATGTCAAAGACATTGACGTCAGAATGAATTCGTAAGTTTATGAAATAATGAATTCCTATCTAAATTATGTTCATAACTAAACAAAGAGTTCTATGACTCATTATTGGATGATTAATCATAATTACACATGGTTTATCTTTATTACTCGTAAAGTACAGATACTTTCATTTCCGTCAAGTTAATATCAAACTTATCCAATAGAATCATGCTAGCTTACAATTTAGCCTCCAGGTCTTAGCAGTTAGATTATAAGTAAGCAAAATAAAAAGGCAATTTCCTACACTCTTGTCATTATTGGTTACTTTGTGATGCTGACCTTTGAAATACAAGACGTTTCCTGACTTAGTGCAAAGTGTAAAAATGTGTTAAATTAAAATAATTAACAAAGCCTTCAGTACAATACTTAATAAACATCATAAATAACCTTGTCGTTCAATAATAAAAAAGTGAGATTGTAATTTAATAGCTTATGGAGCTCCATAGCACATATTCCAAACTTTTACCATTTATTGCACAAACTATTTAGTAAAAGTTTAAAAAACAATAATAATACCATCACAAACCAAAACTTATTGCTGAAATAAATAAAAAGACATACGAGTAGATTCATCTTCGGGCTTTTCTTCAAAGTGTACCTAACACACAAAGTCTTTATTTGAAGTATTCGTTGTTTCTAAGTTTCTAGAATTATATTTTCCATTCCTTCCTTAGTCATTACATTGATAAGGTGTAGGTATGACTGTTGAATTAGGTGTGACTAATTGGCCCACAATAACTGTAAAAACAAACGTGTACTTACTTACGCAATAAAACGACAACTCAGGTAATAAAGGATCATTAAAGTATACTTTCCTTGCAAATACATTTCATTATTCTCACATCTAATTTGAAGTAATATGACTCAATATTTTTTCACTTGATATCATCTGGGTGACTAGTGTCCTTATTTCACCTCGAAACCATTTCACTCAGGCTTTGTTTACCTACTTAATTCACCCTGTGTGTTCGCATGTGTTCACCCTTAGTTAAGTTTAAGCGACTGCTTTAGTCGAATCAATTCATCTGGGTGATATCACCTGGGTGAAATGGTTCCGGGTTAAAACTCATTAAAACTCATTAAAACTCATTAAAACTCATTTATTTCTGTAAATAAGCTTAAAAAAAGCACTTTTANAGTTGTGAGATCCATGTAATACCAAGTCCAGGCCAGGAAATCTTTAACGTTTTACATAAATATATTGACTTGGTCATCGCATGAAAACACGTGTAAATAAAATTATTTAGTGCGATGGCCAAGTCAATAATTTATGTAAAACGTTAAAGATTTCCTGGCCTGGACTTGGTATTACATGGATCTCACAACTTTTTACCGTAGAACAACTGAGTTGCGAGACTTGGTTTTTTTGACAAGTATTGTTTTTGATGGGTTTTATTTTCTGTGACGGATCTGGGTATTTCAATAATTAATTATTCTTTAAAATATTTCGAAATTCAATTTCACTTATGATTTTGGGTAGTGAATGTAAACCTATTCCAAGCGTGTAGGTACTAGGTAAGTAAAAGTAATTGAATGAATAGGCATTTTCCCTGTAATACAATCGCAGTTTGCACCGTAATGCAATATGCAGTTTACACGCACACGTCACGTGCCCCGCGGCGTATGAAATCCCATCAAAAAGCAATACATCACGGGTCCGCCCCCGCTCATCAAATTTGCATGTCCCCCGCCCGCGGCCACCCGCCTCAATTAACTTCTCGCTGACAACAACTGTTGTCTGGCAACATGACCATGCAAATACATTACCTACCATAGTGCTAGCGTAATAAACTCATTAAAGCCGGTTAATTGAGATGTACGAGTATTGCCTCTTTGTAGTAGGCAATAATTAGGTACCTACTAAGTAGGTAGGTTAGCTATTACCATTAGCCTATTGGCCATTCCCTTTTGGTATTAACTACTCGTTCATATGGGTTATAATCACTGGTACCCTGAGCACAAATACTCTCGTGAATATTATCGTATTCCATAAAATCATGCCGCAGCGATGTTTGTTTTTCATAAAAAAAAACGATTACCTATAGTGTCCGACCGAAACTAGTTTTACGACCGAAACCGAAACCGAAAACGAATTTCGGCAACGGTGTCTATTTCGGCCGAAACCGAAACCGAAACCGAAACTTCTTTACAAGGCTCATATTTTGAGGGAAAAATAAAGAAAACGTTATTATTTTTTGTATTATTTTCCATTTTCTTAATTAATTAATTTTTGACGAATTTCAATATCTAACTACTACGTGTGATATATCATTGGAAAGAAAAGAAGCTAGAGATGTTTTCAAGATCATTGGCAATCCGATATCACCATTCATTTTTTAATCTAATTCTAAGTTGAATTTTTTTTCGTGATTGTACTTTTGTTAAACTTTGGCGGCTCGTAACAAGCTATCCAATCTCTATCTGGATCTGAATTTTATCTAACTAAAGACATATTCAATATTAATATCAAATAAAAAAAATTGGTTGAAAACACGTGACAAAAAAAATTAAGCAGTTTTCTGGTCAAATTTCGGAAAAAATAAATTAAAACAAAAATATCGATTAAAAAAAAGTAGGTCACTTAGGGGCAAATGGGCGAACTTGTATTCTTAGAATGACCTTACCTATACCACAAAATAATAATAAGTACTACGTACAGAAGTTTTACTTCGCGAAGGTATTTAAAAAAATGTATGCTCAATGTCATTAACAATATGGTGTAATTTAGCTTGTCTCAAGAGTCAAGCACCATTTTGTTGACAAACGTCAGTGATCGGTACTGCGCCGAAGCTATAGGGCTGACTTCGGTAAAATGATGTGACGTGAGGTGCCAAACTGCAGAAAATGGCGGAGGAAATACATGATTTAGCATGAATTATCATGAATAATATTAACTACTTATTTACCTCTCAGTGACTTCAGGCAACTTAAAAAAGTACATTCTGTTTTTATTATTATTTAGGCAGTTAAATACTGCACAGTATTTAGTACACCATTTTCTTTATTTTTTCCATCATACACAAGAATACGCGTGCGTGCAGCGTGAGTCAATCGTTTCAGATGTTCGCTCGTATGACGTATGTGAGGCTTTGTCGAATAGTAATCCTATAGGGGGCCATCGTGCGTTTTTGTTTTCGATGTAAACTCGCGGAGATGAACAGGCCTGCCTATACACCCACGAAGTTTGTCTAACCTTCCGCCAAACACCCTGTATAATACTATAAATTAAGTTTAAACTATGATCGTAATGCACATTCGGTTTCGGTCGTAGTTTCGGCAAGTTTGCCGCCGAAAACGAAACTAAACCGAAACTCGTGTTTTTACCGAAACTCAACCGAAAACGAAACCGAAACCGAACATTCGGTCGGACACTACCTACCACTAGTATATACATACAATAATATTATTACATACCAATAACTTTAATAGCGATTCTGTTAAAAAAAGAAATCTGAGAAAAGTCAACCCGGGGAAAAAAATAAAGCATAAGTACCTACTAGACATAGAGAGGAATTAAGTAATTCCTCTATGCTACTAGGTCATGAAATAAAAAGTTACAAAATATGTAAATGATAACTTTTTAACTACGAAAAATCGTAGCACATGGGGTTGATTGATCGATGCTCTACGACGACGACGTCGCGACGGGCTGCGGCTTGACACTACTTTTGTATTGTTTAATAAGATTTGTGGTTCTAAATCGCAAAAACATTGTTTGTGTATGTAAACACGCGTGGAAGAAGGGCACGAAACCAACTACATAAAAAAATCATTTGAAAAAAATCTACCAAGGTATAGATGACCCACGCTGAACTGTCCCACCAAACTCAATGACAGGGGGGCGCTACCATCGTTCAACTATATGGTTTCCAACGTGGCAAAAATCGGAATCAGCGATCCGGTATTGACGGTGGCGCCCCACTGTCAATGTCATGGATAGGACAGTTCAGTATTTTGGAACTATATATATTTTTTCTGGTTTAGCGCCATCTATCGAACTATTAATGAACTGCTTGCTGTGTGCTTTATTGACTTCTTCAATCTATGCTATAGTCAGCAGAGCAGTTAATGTTTCATTAACTATGGGTTTGATAGATGGCGCTAAACCAGAAAAAAAATCAAAAAGAATAAATGATATGAAAATAATTGTTTTTTGTGAAAACAAAGTGCCTTTTACGTTTTTAAATCAAGCTTCACATAATTCGATAGTAATGCTATTTATGACGATTGGTTTACAGTGTATGACCTATAATGTGTAATTCCTTTGCTTGAATAAATTAAAAAAAAAACAGCTAGCAAAACATGGCAGAATTTGTTTCGTTTCCCTTTCTGTCACAGCGATTTGGTAAATACACGGAAAATAAATTCCGCCCTTTGATACTATTTGCATAGATAGATAACGCTTGTAAGTGACTAATGCCTTGGATTAATTATTGTTTCTCCAGCTGACCGCTGGGAGTTATCAATGCCGAGTCCATTTTCCAGTTGTTAATGTGTGTGGTGGAGTGTTCGTGTTGTAAATGTTGATTTGGTAAGAAGCAGGCTTCAGTGGCTTCCGTAGGCCTCCGAGAACAAGTGCTCCTCTAAAATGGAAGGTGGCAACGACCAGGATCGTGACCGCGCGCAGTAAGTTTGTTGGTGATACCTTTTCTAATTGGTGCTCAGCAAATGGCCATAAAATTTCATCATTGGACAAGTTCTGAAATTCTTACTAACTTTTAATGCTATTTTACAGTGACGCTTACCTTTAATCGTTATTATTATGTGTATTCGTAAAAATGTAATTGTATTTTATTAAGTTTACTACAAATCAAAAGTCATGGACCTTGATTGATTATTAATAATAATGTTAACACCAGGGACGTTAAGGATATGAAGTTACGGTTATGGATACGGTTACAGATATTATAATAATATTATACTGGTTTTGGTTACAGTTATGAAATCATTTCGAATTAGCCGAAAATTTCGGATAATTTCGGTGGTTGGAGTATAACGACACCTATGATAAAAGTAAAACAGGCACGGATATTTGATGGTGCCAGGGAAGTAACAAATATTAAAAAATGTTAAGATTTAGACTCCGCCTTTGTCCGAAACTTTTGAATTAGTTTCGGTTACAGTTAGGGGGCGTCCATAAATTACGTGAGGCTTTTAGGGGGGGGAGGGGGTCAACAAAAACCTCACCAAATCTCACGTGGGGGAGAGGGGGGGTCTCGGGAAATATCACGTATTTTTTCCCACAAGAAATAGAGAAATAGTTTGCCAGAAAACTGGGTTAAATCTTAAGGGGGTGCAGCGCCGACGAAAAATTACGATTTGCTAGCCGAGATAGCGGTGGCGCAACGAACTAACACGATCGCACACGAACTACTTCACAGAGTAGAGACAAAAGAGACTCAATACAGAGTAAAAACACGTATTTCACGAATTTTGCTAAACAAAACGTGAGTTTATAATACTTTAATTAGGAAAAAGGAAGGATTTGATTTTTTGTTGGTATTGCTGCGAAAATTCTTACACAATAAAAATCCTAACTAATATTGATTCTTCTGATGAACAGAGGCGTTAAAAAAGTTTCGAAAAAGAGTATTTTTCCTAGACGTTCAATTCAAATAGGCTGTTAACGTAGCGTCTTTCCATTCTATACATGGCCAGAACGCAAGGGTGTGAAACTAATCGAGTATAGTTTGGAAACAACTTTTTTTTACTAAACTCTTCCAAACTATATGAGCAGTTACGCAAATACTGCGTACCTACTACTCTAAATAAAAATGTTATCGATTTATTTATTTAATCCTACCAAATCAGTTTATTTTGAAAAACCACTTACCCGCAAGAGTGTTAAAAATCTAGTTTTATATTGATTCGATAAAATATATTTAAGTAATCTATAATATAAAAATGAATCGCAAAATATGTTGGTAAGCGCATAACTCAACAACGCCTGGACCAATTTTACCAATTCTTTTTTTTAAATGTTTGTTGAAGTCCAAGGATGGTTTTTGCAGCGAGAAAAGTTTGAATAATTTCCGGGTAAACCCTAAAAAACTCGAAACTTCACCCCTAAGGGTAAAACGGGGTCCACGCGTACGAAGTCGCGGGCGGCCGCTAGTAAGAAATAAAAATACTCTTAAATCTAATTCCGTATTTTACTGAATAAGTATCAAACTAACCTTTTCACACTTGTCAAGTGTAAGGCCTCAGCCTCGAACTTAGCGGCAGCGGGGCGGGAGCGGCGGCAGCGCTGGAGCGGGGCGGGCAACGCAGACCCGTTCTCGAAACAAGCGGGCAGCTCGCGCGGCGCTTTAGCGGCGAAGTGTCGTGTTCGGGGTTATGTTGTCGAGATATTTGTTTTTATTCGCAATCGAAATGTCTGAACAACGGCGACAATTTTATTTCGATTCAAATTTATTCCTAACGCTCGATTTATTGTGGGCAAAAGAAGGAGTGCGCTGCCCGCTCGTTGCCCCCTCCCTCGCCGCTGCCCGCTCCGGCGCCGCTGCCGCGCCGCTGTTTTCGAGAACCCGTCTNCTGCCCGCTCCGGCGCCGCTGCCGCGCCGCTGTTTTCGAGAACCGGTCTATTTGATTTTACGCATAAGATCCTGCCGCTCCCGCGCCGCCGCCGCCGCCGCCCCGCGGCCCGCTAAGTTCGAGGCTGAGGCCTAAGGCCTCAGCCTCGAACGCCGCTGCCTGCCTCGCCGCTGCCCGGTCTGCGTTGCCCGCCCCGCTCCAGCGCCGCCGCCGCTCCCGCCCCGCTGCCCGCTAAGTTCGAGGCTGAGGCCTAAGTGGTGTAGTAGGTATAGTTTGAAACGGAGAAGCGAGCATCCACAATAAAAATTAAAGACGACTTACGAAGAGTATTACAAAATATACACGAGCAGTTTCCTACGGCTGCGTTCTACCCATGTACAGGGTGAGGTTTTGTAAAACAACGCCCATCTCTGGAGTGATAGTACACATGAAAGTTTATTGCAAGGGCAGGCCTCTTACTTAGTGGACCGATGATCTGGTGAAGGTCGCGGGTGGTACCTGGATGCGAGCGGCGTGGTACCGGTCTTTGTGGAAATCCTTGGGGGAGGCCTTTGTCCAGCAGTGGACGTCTTTCGGCTGAAACGAACGAACGGCAAAGAAAGGTTGTAAGGGTTTTCTAGCCATATTAACTATAAAATAAGTAAAATATTTTTTCGTAACAATCGAAGTCATAACAAAAGAGATACTANGAATAACCTTATTATATGGTTAAATTATACAATAATTCTGTTGAAGAAGCACTACAGGTAAAAAAATGGTTTTTTAGACACATTTTTGTTACACAATTTAACATTGGTTTTTCATCTCCAGCAAGTGATGCTTGCACGACATGTACATTACTGTCCCATAAAATTAAATCTGAGCAGGATCCACAAAAGAAACAGTATCATATGACTGAAAAAAGAGTACACAAGCTGAGAGCTAACGCTTTTTACCAATTAGTAAGACAAGAAGTGGACAATTCTTATTCTTTTTGTTTTGACTTGCAACAAGTTATGCCTTTACCAAAAACACCAATTCAAGACAGTTTCTATGCTCGACAAATAAGTTTTTATAATTTGTGTATTGTGAATGTGGATGGAAAGGACCCAGATTTTTATTGTTGGACTGAGGACATGGCTGGTAGAGGCTCAATGGAAGTAGGTTCTGCTTTATTTAGTCATCTGAACACACTCAAGCAGAATGGGTCTTTAAATGATGTACACATAATCCGCATGTTTTGTGATGGGTGTGGAGGACAAAACAAAAATTCATTTATTATTGACACACTTATATACTGGTTAATAAAAGAGTCTCCAGCAACTTTAAAAGAAATTCAGATTGTTTTTCCTGTGCGTGGTCACTCCTTTTTACCTGCCGATCGTGTATTTGGTCGCGTAGAAAAAGATTTGAGAAAAAAAACAGTAATTACAAACAGAGAAGATTATCATGACCTATTATTACAGCATGGAAGAGTAAATATTTTAGGCAAAGATTGGAAGTATTATGACATCAAAAACCTTGATAAACATTTTAAAAAAGTAGAAGGTATAAGGGACATGAAACGCATATGCATAGAAAAGAAACAAATAAAAAAAAGAACTGAGGCAATAGTTAAATGTTTCAGAAACTTCAGATTTGAAAATGCTGGAGAATCAAAAGGAATAAATCCTTTAAAGAGAAATACAAACCTGTTGAGTATCAAACTTGTTGAGAAAGAACTGGGACATTTCATAAAAGGTGCAAAGAAAAAGGATGTAGAAAGTTTATTAACTAAACAGTTTGGAGAAAACTGGAAAAATGATCTTTCTTTAAAATGGTATTGTGATATCTTGTATGAAAATAATATAAGTGAAAATGACAAGTGGCAGTGGGCGGGATAGCTCGTAGAGACGATGGCCGTTGGGGCAGGAAAGTTCTCGAGTGGCGACCACGGGCTGGAAGACGTAGCGTGGGCAGGCCTCCTACTAGGTGGACCGACGATCTGGTAAAGGTCGCGGGAAGAGCCTGGATGCGGGCAGCGCAGGACCGTTCATTGTGGAAAACCTTGGGGGAGGCCTTTGTCCAGCAGTGGACGTCATTTGGCTGAAAAGAAAGAAAGAAGAAAGAAGAAAATGACAATGAAAATGATGAAAATGGATGTGACTGCTTAGAACCTGATTGTGGAGAACTTCATGTATAAGAATTTAAAATAATAATAAACACATTTTTTGTATGGATATTGATTTGTTTTTGTTTCTAATAGTGACATTTTTCAGACAGCAAGTTTCAAAAGGTAACATTTTACAAAACTATTGAATCAAATGGTGACATTTACTTGTGACTTGATCAAAAGGTGACATCTGATTTGTTCTTTATTTAATTTTGTGTAAATTTTAAAACATACATGAAAACTTTTAATACCTTGTAATCTATGTCTTATTAACCCATAATATTAAAAACAAAAAAAAACAAAACACATAAAGTTCAACAAAAATATTTATTTTCTTAATTTATTCATATAATTAAAAAGTGTAAATGTCACTTTCTGTTCCTAACCTCCTCAAATATTATTAGAGAAAACGGACCAGGAGGCGGGGCCTAGCATCACGCCACCGTGACGTAACATCGAACCATGAGAAGGGGCACCTGAAGAGCGCTGGCTCGGCGCGCGCTCACTTTTGCGGAGGCATTTGGACGTGACGGACGTATTCTAGTGGCAATAATCGTGTTTAGGGTTTCATATATTGTGTTTAGGTTTTCTTTGAATAAACGGTCGATTTTGTGATTAAAATTGTTCTTTTTAAAAAATCAACCCCGCTTCTGATTCATAATATCAGAAGTGGGATAGGACTCGCACGGAGCCTCGCTCGCTATCGGTATTTTTGCTCGTTTTCGACTATTTGTGAGTACCTTCATTTTTTTTGTTGATTTGAAATTTTAAGTGTTCCGTTCAATTATTTTAAAGCAGTGCAGTGTTGAATATTTTTTCATAACTTGTAGCCGTTTTGATTTTTATAATGTCAGGTCGATCGTCACGATCTAACTCAAGAGCGGAGGGCTCGCGTAGACATCGTAGTAGATCACGTAAAGATCGCGATCGCCCTCATCGTAGCTCTCATAGGCGGCGTCGC